ACTGTCAATGCTACAAAGACACAGCCTGCTACATGGGATCAATCAGCTCTGAGGTGCGCCGAGGGCTTCCAAAGCATTCACAAAAAACAACACACATCAAAAGACAAAGATGTGAAAGGCAGATAGACAGTAGTGTTGACTGTAATTGCAAGTTTGATTTTGATACTTAATGAATAAACTTGACTTTTTGTTACGTTTTACAATTCTAATAGATAGATAGACCGCATGCATCGATCCAAACGTAATCCATTCCACTTTTCTATGTTCAATAATAAATCCTCATCACATGACCATCATTGCGATTGACAAAAACATGTGCAAAGTCTGTGCTCCACATCAGGCCTTATATCTACAAAAACATATTGATGACCCTTTGTAACTTTGATTATAACGATCAGAAAAACAAGAGCGGATTATAATCAGGTGTGGTTTATAGTCTGGAAAATACATTTTGTTTGTCCAAATGGAAAGATTTTTATAACAGAAAAAAGTGAACAAATCTGAGCACAACATGCTTTCTTCATCTTACGAGAAAATATAGTATTAAGAAATAGCCCTGAGAGACTGAGTGAGGGTCCTCTCTTTTTCCACTTCTCGGTCTGAAAAAGCTGATCTAAAAAATACATGCATGTGAAAACTTATTATAGTGAAATGAATTATATTATAAGGAGCATTTTTAGTGTTTTGAAAGTTAGGTTTGCCAGCTTTGAACAGTCGTGCTTTCAGGATTCTGCGTCCGGCAAGAGCTGTGACGTGGCTGTGACTGTCATGGATTTGACTGCGTGCTTGGGAACACGTTGCCTGAGGTGATAATTCAGCTCTCAAGAAAAAAGAAAGTGACAGAAACAACAGTGACAAGAACAAGAACTTGGCTGGCACGACATTCTGTTTCTAATTAAATGTACAAAGTAACACAGACCTCTATCCAATGTACCTGTCAGTGGTAAATATGACAATGTAAGAATTATGCAAGCACAAACGACAAACATGTTCTATTTAATGAATGAATAATATTATAATTTCAATGTATGCAGAAAAAACTGCAATAGTGAAAATTAAATTACAATCCTGGATACATAAACTGCACATGCATCATTGATTCTCCAGGGCTGTTTTCAGAGCAGCCGTGTGCTTATTTAAACTGACACAGAGAGGGAGGAGAGATGCCCTGGGAGAGTGGATTCCCAACTAAAAATATCAAAAGACATAACCTTCAAAATATGATTGTTAAATAGCAATAGAAGTGTATTCAGTGTGTGAAGTGGTGCCAATAAAATCTGTATTCTGTTTATTTAGAAGCAACTCTTCCTTCCTCAAAACCTCAGTCACGACAATGAGGGATAGAATGAATATGGATCAGCTTGTTGTAGTGCTGTGTTAATTACTACAATCTCACACGTTGCGCTGATAAGACACAGATCTTCTACTATTCAGAACACAAAAAATATCAAGTCATCCAACAGTGTGCAGCAGCAGGAACTAGAATCTTTGAATATACTCTGATTTGGTTTAAACCTGTGACTTTTATCAATCCTCGCCTGTATTCTGGTGCTGTTTCTTATGCAAAGCAACTGATTGCCTATTAAAAGATATTTCAAACATGACCTTTTGGCATTCTCAAGAAAAAAAAGAAAATGATAAAATGAACTGTTACAAAATAAGTGACATCATTCATAGTAATCAGACACAAACAAACCCTTTGTGAATGTGCGTGTGTATCTACAATAGCGGTGCTACAACAAGACAGAGGTAATTGGTCTAAAAGGATGTGAGGGTAATCTTCAAATGGACATGAAAGATCAGTGGTTCTCTCCTTCAGGGCAAAGTCAATGTATCACTGGACACAGTTTAAGGAGAATCTGATTCTGACAAAACATTTGGTCCTCCACTCTTCTTCTCCATAAGTAATCAAGTGGGCAAGTTTATCATTATTATTCTATATACATAATTTCCTTTCACCTTTCATTACTATTTTAGAACCAAAAGAATATTATGTTTGTTGCCATGCAACTGTAAAACATTTGATGAGAACTTATGAGGGACCTACCCTGTTGCCTTGCATTATAAACTACTCCACAGAAGTACCCTCCTCACTAAAAGGTTTGGTGAATGTGCAGCCTTGTGGAGCTGGAGATGTTTTGATAAAAAGACAGCTCTGACGGGGACAAAAAAGACAAGCAACAAGAAAAAACTCTTGCTTAATCACTATACTTCATTTGGAACAAAGGTTGAATGAACCCTTTCAGTAAATTATTGTATTGTATCCCATTAAAGGAAGCATATATATATACTGTAGTCTTCACTCTGGCACAAACACAAGCCTTTGTTTTTGTGCCCCTCAACATAACCATAGGAGAAATTGATTTATCACTATAATTTTAGATCTTGACCAAAATGATGGGTTTATTTTTATCATGAGCGACCACTCAATTGTCCAGGTTTTTTTGTGATGGCACACATGAACGCTCTCCTCTCAAATGTTTGGCCATGTCTAACATGCCACACATGGGGTCCAGTACTTCCTCAGTACGGCAGCAGTGCAAACAAGTCTGCAGAGGTGATCATTCAACAAGTCACAATGTCAGCTTTAATGTTTAAAGAGGGCTCTGTGTTAAACAGGAAAGGACTTACATTACCAACAAGAATACTAATAATTATCCATGAAAATCCAAAAATAGCAACATTGGCCAATTTGAGCTTTGCTGCAGCATCGTTCTCATGGGAACTGTTTTTTAGGTTTATCCGTTGTAGTACTTTTCAGAGTCATAACAACTTTTCAAATAATGTTTTCTAATCCGTTATTAAATTAACAAACAAAGATTGATTTACAATAATAATTGACAATATTGATTTGATCACACTGTTTATTGAGGTCAGTAAGCGTGTAGAATTAAGATATCGTTGCACTTTTGCAGAACTGCAATTGTAAAATAAAATAAAAAGCAACAGTGAGCAAATGACCAAAACTTTGATGTTTGATGTTATGGTCATATTATGGAATGAGATTGTCTGTGGAGAATGCTGGTCTTCAAAGCTAACTTATAACATATAACAGGCACTGTCCATGGTGCTGAAATAGTACTGCACCAACTCACACAGGCAATGATACTATTTGAATAGTGGAGAAATGTTGTGATACCTTTTATTAATTTTGTTCACTTGATTAAATAAAAAGTGCCCTCTCCACAAGCTCCCATGTCCATACAACATTTTGTATTCAGAGCAGCACATGTGCATCCAGTGGCCTGTTGTATGAAAGAAATGTCAGATCTCTGCACTGAAGAGGCCAGCCCCTCTCTATCCTTGTTTCCCTGGAGTAGAAAAGAGAGCCAATCAGCAGAGAGCAGCCACTGAGTCACGGAGCGAGCGGGCTAAAGCCACTGGACCGGAAGGATCCTCTGCTTTGGGCAGAAATCAGCTCCATTCTCATGTGTGGTCAACTTGACATCCAAACAAATAGAAACTCGACACCAGATAATGACAACAATGACAACAGCTCATAACTAATGCGTGGACAAATCTTTTCAAAAATTTTTTACAAACAAGCATTTAATTATAAAACCATTAGTAACACAGAGATGTTGCAGTGCTCAATAACACAAAAATAGTCCTAGCAACACCACAAGGTTATGTGAAGGTCAAAACTTCATCTGGATCTATATGTGTCACAGCCCACAGCAGTTTCAAACCTGCAGTAGTTCCAGAGAGTCTGCGTCACTCAAGGCAAACAACAGTTAGACAAACAGACACGCTGAATGGGGATGTGAGCCAGTGCCAGAGATGCTCATTAACTATTGATGCAACGGGAGATCGCACAGCTGGATACACTTCACACACTCTGGACACACATATGTATTACGCTGTTGGGAATCATTAAAGCATCCAGGCACAAAAACATTCATAATAAAAGTATATATATGCTGGAATTTGAGCTGGCTTTATTCATTGTACCTGATAGTTTAGCTGTGATGACATAAGTGGAGAGAGCTGTGTATATAAAGGCACAAAGAGATTCAATATGAGTGAGTAAATTTAGCAGACTAATCATAAGCGCATTCATACATTCTAGTTTTCGAAAAGAAGCTAGCAGGCTTTCATTGCTTGTTAAGGTGAAGGACAATGGACTCCACTAGAGGGGTTTATTTGAAGCATCATGTGACTAAATGAGAGGAGAGAAAAAGTAAAAGTGCAAATGTTACTAAGAGGAACGCTTTGGGCAGCCTTTTTTCTGAAAGATGAGGACCAACTGTACATCAGCAAAGATAAGGAGGCAGGAAGGAGCCACAAAAGACTTTGACTCGTCCATTTCATTTGACATAATGAGGACAGAAGGGGAGCAGAGAGATAAGGACCAGCAAAGGGGAAATGACAAACAGCAGGGAGAACAGGCATTGATTTGATTACACTACAACTTCTTATAACAGAGTGAGGCAGATAAAGTCAGAGAACTACAGCCAAATACACTCTGCTGTTAAATTCCAACTAGAACAAATGCTGCAAAGATTTTGAAGGAATAATAATTCTTTTATAGGAACTAATGACAAAAAGTAGAACTGCATGTAATCAGTATCCCAAGTCTTCAGTTTGGACATGGACATACTGTATGTCAGAAAGGAATAAAACTTAGTTATTGTTTAATTTTTTTAAGTTTGTCTGTCCCATTAAAGAAATATGTAGTTGGTGATAAAGTACAGTAAATTTGAGCATTTTACAACATAAATGTATAATCCAGAAGTGGAATTTGGAATGAGGGTCCGTTATTATGATGCTTTTTGCTATGTGACATTGTGAATGTGACATCCCATGGCATCTGTCATCTTGCATGAGCTACTCTCCAAAAACACCTCCATCTCCTCTCTTTGCCTTGAAGTCAAAATGATGTTCCGTCCATGAAATGATAGTCCAATATTCAAAAGTGTCAGTGCATGTATTATTCTGACCCATCAGCAGAGACAGGACTAGATCACATGCTTACGTTCTAGAACAGAGAGGATTCTTACCTGGCAGCAGTTCTTCCTGGGTCCTCCTTACAATCCCAGGAAGCCTTTAGGAGACAGCTTCTGCTTTGTTGGAGTGACCTCCACGTGGCACTTCAGAAGAAAATAAAACACAAAACAACGGCTCAAATAGCAGAAATGTTCCTCTTTTACACAACAGCTCAAGGAGCGCTCCGACGACCACACACTCAGTCAAAAGCTCTGTAACAAGGAGCTCTCTCCTCCCTCCCTCTCTCTCTCTGTGTGTCAGAAACACGCTTTTCCCGCCCACCTACTCCAGCCCCTCCCCCCATCTCCATCGCTTCTGGATCTGACACCAAAAAAATGAATACGGATCCCCTTTATCCCAGCATCCACTTTTGGCCAACCCCCCACACTCACTGACATTATTATTTTATGTAAACAATAGAATAGGGAGCAATTGAATCTTGCTACAGATAACCTGTAATTCAAGAAGTATTACAACAACCCAATTTGTAATATTAAAAGAGCCAGTTTGGAGAAATTATTCACAGAGCAATAGTTTAGTTTCAAAGCTTTCTTACGCCTCATGGACACATGTGTCTTGTCCCTATTATCAACCATGTCAAGGGCATTCCCAGAGTATGTGTAAGCGAACGACAGCCTGGTGGTCCCCTCTCCTCCCCACTCTCACCAGATGTGGCTCTTGGCCGTGTCAGGGAGGGGGCAGCACACACAAAGGCAACAAGAGGAGGTGTAAATGAAGAACTCTGATTTAAGCTGGCACCCAACCAAAAATAAATATATAAGCCTTATAGGGATAATAATTGAATCACAAGCAGACTATGAAAACTGACCTATATTGTTTTATTTTTATTTAATTTTGGTTATTTGCTTATTCTAACACAACCACCCACATCACCTATTGAGTACAAGTTTAAGTTATTAAAATCAATTGATTGATTAGTAGAAGTTATTAAAGGGTTTAAAGTGAATGTTGGTTACTTGGACTGGTTGGAACTACCCTTGTTCACCCTCACAGCTTACTGGTTCGACAAAACCCACAAAACCAGAGTAACCTAATTGTGCAATTTTGCCCTTAATTGTGCAAATTGTTACACCATTGGTACAATAAGAATGGCATGGGTTTGAGCCTGTGTTGGTCCGGGCCTTTCTTTGTGGAGTTAGCATGCAATCCTCCAGCTCCAGTACATACACAGAGATGTAGCAGTCCTCAACAAATCAAACATCTGGAGATGGTGGCCGGGGGCTGTACTGCAGCAAAAGACAGCTGCTTGTTTAGCATGTCATAATGACAATAAAATTAAAATCTTGAATTAAGAGTCAGTTTACTTGTGGGTCTGACTCATATTCAGCAGAAAAGAGCATTAGGGCAGATGTCCATCACATTGTCTATCCACGGAGCTGACTCATGTTCAGAGATCAGGGTCCAAGAAAAGGGTCCCCAGCTCACCTTTGCCTCGGGCAACACTGAGGGGCATAGTTATCATGGGGTAACACACGCCCATGGAGCAAACCGATTTATCACGCACAACAAACAAATAGGAATACTGAATATACAGTACATAAAACCCATCCATCCATCCATCCATTTTCTTCCCCTTAATCCATTTCTGGGTCGGGGGGGTGGCAGTCAGAGCTGCACCCAGTACACAGAGCACCAGCCCCTCACTGACCCTCCTGCAGGTGGTGAGTCCACAGGAGCTGAGATCTTTCAGTGGGGGCTTCAGGCAAAGTGGGGTTAAGTGTCTTGCCCAAGGACACAACGACAGCAGTCATCAGTGGGAGTCGTGAAGTAGGTCTTGAGGTGGGCTCGAACCCACGACCTTCAGGCTCAAAGGCCAATGCTCTACCAACTGAGCTACTGTCGCCCCCATAAATGTAATTTAACGTACATAAAACCGTTTGTGCAAAAATGAAGGAAGAGATAAAAAACCACGTCCTTTAGCAAAATTATACAGCTATACTGGAGAGAGATTCAGCTGTAGCACATGAATAATACCCACAAAGCTGCTTTATTCACTACCATAAAAGTAAATGGCTCATTCACAAAGTTACACGTGTAAACCTCTGCCTGTTATTATCACAGCCGTCATTTTTCGTTGCCTATTTTTTCTTAAGAGTTGTGCGTACAGGCTACAACAGAATAATACCTTGAACGTCCTAAAGCTGTAGGGGGCAGACCTGTTTAAGCACAGATTTAGTAATACCCAACAAAAACAGCACTTTTATTTTTACCCCAGTTTAATATAAAGATCCACCTATATTGTTCACAAAGGGCTTCTTTGTCTCAGCAGACAATCCATCCCACAAGCAGAATAAGAAAAATAAAGTCTGAAGGTCAGAAGCAATGCCATTGTCCTTGATAACATCTTTAACATATATTAATGGGATTTTAGAAGTGATAGAAAGAACACATGTTTTGGAAAAAAGGTTTGAATTCAGTGTGAAGGAGCCTGTGGCTAAGAGCACCAAACGTCAGACATGACTTAGGTAAATTTAGACTTTAGCTTTGCTCCGACTTGCTGTCAACACTGCTGCTCACCCCCTCATTCACTGTCACTGTTTTCTAATGAGAACACAGACTCCTATGGCAGCCACCACTTTATCCCCAAACCCCCTTCACCATGTGGGCTGCTTTCTTATAGCTAAAGAAAATTATGTTGTTTTTTTTCAAATCCCAGCATAATCACAATGTTGTTACAATAGTTAGTGTCACAAATTACAATTTGGGTAATATATTAACATGCCCACTGTTGATTACATAACATTTGATTTCAGGATAGCTTGATGATAACAAAATATTCATATATAATTGTTCATGTTATAAGAGCAGAGCTTGAGTAAGCCCGTGTCTGCAGCAAGCTCTGACATGTAAATAAAGTGTAATGGGCTATAAAGCTCACTGGGAGACAGACACCATTGACAACCCAAACACATAGTCCAGACCCAGGCGAAAACAAACAAGAGCCAGTGTTAATGATTGCCCATAACTCCCCGCTGGACTCTGCACAGCTTGCTCCCTGCAGCAGCTATGGTTCAGTGGTCTCAGTATGTTGGGCGGTGGCAGAGAAGGCATCACTTGCAAGAACAAAAGAAGTCCTGAGTTCAACTCTTAATGAGCCAGCTGTAGGCTCTGGAGTGGATTTGCTGAGTGATCCCAGATGTACTAACCTACAGTTCATACTGGGGAGAGCGAAAACTACACGGTCAGCACCACATGATTATCTCCATTAGAAGTAAAAATTCCCTTGTGACAAAGACACAACAACAAGGAGCGGTGTTCACAAACTTCGCAAAGTTGTGGGACGAAAATCTGTCTGCACACAAATGGATTATAAAATTATTATATGATTTTAAGATGACATGAAGACATTTTCCAACAATCATTTGTCACAGTCACATAGAGGACACAGATGAAATGTGCTAGTTTGTTATTTTATCGGTGAAGAAAGTTACATGGGACAAACTTTCTTCGCCATAACTCATTCATACAGTGAATCGACATGAGGAGATGAAGTGCGATAGCACGTGTGTCAGTGTCTTTATGTGTATGTTTTTTTTGTATCGAAATGTAGCAGATCCATCAGTCCAAACCAAATCTCTCCTAAAGGAGACAAAAATAAACAATCTTGAATCTTCAATAAACAGAACACTGAAATTAAATTTCTTGAATAGCTCAAAGGGTTTATAGCCTGGCTTTTAAATGCAGAAATGTGCATGTTCTTGCAAATGAGTTTTCTTCTCATAAAAATGCTAGTTTTAATTTCTGTACAGGCACAGAAATATTTAAAATATTCAGGTTAGAATACTTGATACCTTGTGCTCAGACACGACTTCTATTTACAAAAGCAAGGAACGCCTGTGTGTCCGTGTGTGTCTGACGCATAAGTTTGAAAATCTGAATTTAAAACAACAACATGGAATTTATGTCAAATCACCAAAGAACAGGAAGTACTGAGCAATATCAGGGGAAAACAATAAAAAAATTGAGGACATTTTATGTGATCAAATAGATGTTCCATAAAAAGAACCATAAAATGCATGAGGCGGGTGTGATGCAGATTTTAATAGCAGCTTCAGCAGCTATAGATTAATGATAGATCTGCATGATTGGATGGACCTCGCCGTTTCCCCATTTGGATTTGAACACAGTGAAAGCAGACTTTGAGAGGAAAGAGCTTTCAAATCAAAAGCTGTCAGTTTTGTCAGCCCAGATGGAACAAAAAAGGTGGAAGAAAAAGGAATCAATGGGGCGAAGGAGAAATAAAGGAGCAAAATGCATTTAGAAGAAAGAGAATTTGGGAAAAAAGGGAATGGATCAAAAGAACACTTCTCAAAATGTCAAAAGCATTTGAATAGTCACCTCTGGACATAGCAAATAACCGGCCTGTACGCTAAAAGACCAGAGCTTTCACAAAAGCAAGTAAATTACAGAGCCTTTATTTTTCTGTAAAGTTTTGACCCCACTTATAGGCAGTTAATACAAAAATCAAGTAATTTACTGGCTCTAATTCAACTACTTTCAACAAGGGGCGACAGTGGCTCAGTTGGTAGAGCATTGGCCTTTGAGCCCGAAGGTTGTGGGTTCGAGCCCACCACAAGACCTACTTCAACACTCCCACTCATGACAGCTGTCGTTGTGTCCTTGGGCAAGACACTTAACCCCACTTTGCCTGAAGCTCCCACTGAAAGATCTCAGCTCCTGTGGACTCACCACCTGCAGGAGGATCAGTGAGGGTGGTGCTCTGTGTACTGGGTGCAGCTCTGACTGCCACCCCCCCGACCCAGAAATGGATTAAGGGGAAGAACATGGATGGATGTATAATTTAACTACTTTACTAACAAGAAAGGAAACATTAAAGTCAATCAATAAAGAGTAAGCCAAGTAACATACTGTACATTGTCAAACAGCCAAGTCCACACAAGATACAATTTAGTGTTTCCTTTAATGAGCCGTCATACAATATGAACATGACATACACTAACACATCCTGGAGGCTTGTTTAAAAGTGGAGTGTTTAATATATAAACAAACGTTTATATATTAAACACTCCTTTGTTTAATTTTGAATGTATAAACAATTGGCATTTTATTAAATGCCTTTGATGGCATTACCGATTTCAGTCAGCTGAAATCTTTTTTTGGCCACATTCTACTATTTATTCTTTCATTAGCTTCAAACCCTACAGAGGACCTGTTAGGAGCTCTCTACATATGAAGCTACTCTCAAATCAGCTATAATCTGTACAACACATCTCATAGCATCTTTCTGTTCACTGCTCAGGAAACTGCCACCAATCACTTCCAGCTTCATTGGTGGATAAGTGGGTGTTCAAATATGATGCTATTCATTGGAATTCTTTTGAGTACACACAGGTGCAGCTTTCAGCAGCCAGCAGTCTCCACTCGCAGCCCAGCACCGAAATGATTGCACATCCTCTACTTAATTTAAAGCCATATGCATCTTAGGTTATATAAAACAATATATTTTTTGAAATACAAAATTGGGCGGCAAAGAAGATACAAATGTGAAAATGTGCTCAGAGGGATGGAGAGGCCGAGCACATACTGCAACCTATGTTCAATTCAATTCAATGTATTCTTGTTTCACCCTAAATCATAACAGTAGTTATTACCAACACAGATCAGAAAATCAAACATGTTGCAGTGCGCTGCTACAGGACAATCTAAATGCAACTTTATACATATCAATATTGATTGGTCATCAGTTCCCCGAGCATGCATTACAGTTTCAAGCGTTCATAGGTACGTGGGACTTTAATCACAGACAGACTGACTGATATTTAGTCAACACAATTGTGACTTTCATGTAAATGGGTCTCCTCTGACCTCTTCATTTATCAGGAAAAGCCAAACGTGCGCATTGTGAAGACATATTGTACAGTCAACTGTATATAAACCATAGACAGTAAATAACAGAGCTAATGGCCAATCTTTCCCTTTTAAACTATTAGACTTTCTATTAGTCAGTCACTTTCTATCAGTCTCAGACTATATTATTAGTAACTAGATTCCCCTTGCACATGCAGGGGGAGTCTAGTGAAAGACTGAACTGCACACTCACGTGGGCTAGAACTACTATCGTAGAGAAGGTAATCCTGTATCTGCTCCAGAACAGTTTTTGCAAACATAAAAATCCACAACAGTCTAAACAGTCCTGGAATTTCAACTTGAGCCGAATGTTTTGAAGCTCTACATCAGGCTCCAAAGCCATTTTTGACCCTAGAAAGGCAGCAATAGGGTTCAATTGTGTATTTTCATTTGCGCAGTAGAACTACAGGCATGAAGCCAGACTGAAAAGATGGCAACCTGCTTCCTTATAGCCGTGATTGGACAGCCAAACACTCCCACTGTGCGTAACTAATGACTCTGCTCAGACCTCTTCTTGGCTCTGCTCTCCTCGTCCCCTCCCCTGGGTCATTCTGAGCAAGCACACACCCAAGCTTTGGCTGATGCCTTTGCCTCTGTCATCTTTTGTTGAGT